CCCCCCATTGGCAACCATATTAGGGACATCATGGAAATGGAAAGTATTCAAAAGAAAGTTGGAGAATTTATTAAAGATGCTTAGTATGTGATAGCTTGTTTTGGATAGACTTGCCTTCCAAATTTTCCTGGGCAAGGTACAGCATCAAGACAGAGCAAAATATTCCTCAAACAGCTATTCCAGCAGGGACCCCAGAAGTGAAGAGGGATTCATTGTAGCTATTCAGCGTAGCTATTTGATTGGGTTTTGCAAAACAACCACCCTGTTATATAGTGGGCAATGATAAAAAAATCTGCACGTTTAGTAGCACGATGTACCGTGGGTGGGATACAATGGGAATATCAGATGTCCCATTTGTGACAGATGGTATACAGTCCCATGGGTCAGCAGGATAGGAATCATGCAAATGACATGGCCTTGATCCAACACACTTTAGGGATCACACAGCTCCCTATAAGCACCCCCTTCATCAGATGAAATTTATGGCCCTTGCATTCAATGAAGTCCCATGGAATGGTGAGAAAAGGCAAATTATTAGGTAAGACATCCCAGCAGAACATTGCTGTAATTTTTATCTTCTCTCTGTTTTAACAGTATTTCTGGATAGTACTGTACTTTGGAATCTGTGCATGTTATCTTGTTCTTGTTTCCATGGCACAACTAAGATATGGGTGGGAATCAAACAAATAGATCTTTATCGATGCACAGGCAGTGAGGAGAGAATTGCGGTCATTACCTGAAGAGACTGTAGCTGTGTGAACAAAAAATCCTCTCACGCCCAGAAGACTGGTTTGCATATTGTAGAACTTGCTGTTTGTCAAATTTTACATCTGTAGGTGTGTGTGAACACGCTCGTGTTCCATTTTCTGGAGGTGCTATTAATTGTGAGATTGTTACAAAATGTTTCAATGCGCCACATAATTTTCAAGCTGTGTACTTCATTGTTTTGTTTTTTCCTTGGATTCCTTGCAAAGGCATTTAGTGGTTGCAAAACAATTCTAAATTCAAACTTGGAATGCTTTACTTGCTCTCTTTTTAGTAACCTTCTATTATTTATTCCAAAGTGCTAAATGTCATGTGGGAGAAGAGATTTCCTTGAAGATATTTCTTTCTTGGGAAGCGGAACAGATTATTTCTCTCATTTAACTTAACCAGTGTCAGTCAGTATCCCAGTTCCCAAGCAAAGGCTCAAAGCAAACTAATAGGAAATTGATGAAGACTTGAAATACTATAGTGTAACAGAGATCTTATTTGCCCTGTGAGGTCATAATACAACAGGTAGCTATGACAATCGTTCCAATGTCATTGCCTCAGTGAAAACATCAAGAGATGCACTTACTGGATCAAGAACAGCCATTCTAGCACTGGACAGACCTCAGAAGTAAGCAATGTAAGTGTAATAAATACATAAGAATACTAAATTATTCTTAGTGAGTTTACGGAGAGACAGTGGTTTCTTAACAGTTAATTCAGTCTACAAATCACTTGTTAAGGCAATGTTGGATAGTTAATGGATGTGTTGTTGCCACCATTCTGGGGAAAGTATGTGAAAATGCATTACTGCCGACAATAAATTCCATTAAATTTAAAGCTTACTGGAGTTTGCCCTTCACACATTTGCATGGGAAAATAGCAACAATTTCATCTTGCAACTTCTGAAAATCTTATGGCTGCTATTTGTTTTTTATATGCAACTCCACCATAAAGAATTCTTACGTTTACCCTCTGAAGTGGTAGTTAGTAGACCAAATCACTAATACTGAAACACATTTTTCATGGGTTTCCATTTACTACTCCAGTTAGTGAGTAGCTCAACCTTCACTTTGAAGTCAAAATACTCTTTAAAGGCCATTGGCCCATCCATTATCCAAGCCTTTCCAATGCACATTGACATTAAATGGGAAAACCTTTAAGAACATTACTTTTTTCTGATCTCAGCTGACTTTCCGTGCGCTATAGTCTTGGGTACATCTACATGTTTGCAAGTCTAGAACATATAGAACATAATAACCAATCAGTCTTCCTCCTGGCTGCCTCTGAGTTGGTAAATTTATT